ACAGCAAATAYCCGCAACTTTTATTTTCATTAATACTTCTAAATTAGATGCATCTTCTAAACTTGTCATTCAAAATGCATCCAGATACAATATAAAGTTGAATAAATTAAAAGCTCAGTTAAATATTTGACTGTTATTAGTCCACTGCTTTAAGGAAGGAATCAATAAAAAAACAAACGTATTTCAGTTGCAAAATTACACAGTAACTGTACTTCCCAAATTCTTAGCCAGACCAGAACTTTATTGTCTATTTTTTCTCTAATAGTAAGAATAATCAATACTAAAGGAAGTCTTAAAATTTGTATGCAGGAAGAAGATTGTTTCATTTATGTCTGACTACACTTGAAAGTGAAAAGCCAATAATTTAACAGAAGGATATTTCTGTTAAAAGCTGAATAACTTCTGGTTAAMGAGGTTGTCAACTAGTTGTGGAAGAAAAATTTTCTCTTTTGCTTTTCTCCCCGGCTTGACCTCACAAAAGTATTTTTCTGGTGTTTCTCCATCTCAAAAATTAAAAATTGAAGATTTTTTCATAYCTCTTTTATACAGAGGAAATCTACTGATCTCACATGATTGTTTTCTGATGTTTAGTAGACGGCAGAGCAAAATAACCATACCTTTGCTTTTTGAAAGTTATTAGAATCACAATTTCTCATGTTGCATGCTCTGACTATCCAAACACTGCTCATGAAACATCAGTCCTTTTCTGGCAACTCACTGGCAGTCTCTCAATACTTTGAATTAGAATATCAATGTACCGTAAGTATAGAAGTATAAAATACCAATCATCTTTGCAAAGAGTTTAACAACATTACTGGAAGGCTTAAACAACAGCCATTACGGAAAATTTTGCTTTAAGCTCTAAACCTGAAAGTTTTGGAAGATACAGTTACCTCTCAAACCTTGCAATTAAAAAAACACAAAAATGTATCAGTCAAACTGCCTATGCCACAATTAGACATATGATCTCCTCAGTTATTAARGACCAGAGATTTTTTAAATCAGAGCCTGACTCCTTGTGTCTACAAAATAACATCTCAAATTAGTCAAACAGTCAGACTTGTGTAAGTTTTTAACATAAAAAGTTTTTTTTTAAACTACCATTTACTTATTTGCCTTTTGCTAGGCAACCAGCAAAAGTAGTATACTTTTCTGGTATTCCCTTATACCTGCTGAACGAACTGACCTTTACTGTATGTGGAATAGCTACCATAGCTACCTACTTAATGACAATAATTAAAAAATAATAAAAAAGTGAAAAAAGGTATCATATGGGGAATAACGCGTTTAAAAATAAGGCAGTAGATTATCACAGTGCTGGACACTTACATTAACCATTAAGTGCGTAATCTCTTTTAAAGAATTATTTTGTGAGATCATGTCCTCTTAAAAACTTAAAAAAAAACCCTGGAGTCTTTAATTCTCTACAGTCTGCATTCTGGGTAAAACAAATGTTATAACCATGCGAATTTATGGTACAGACTGTCAGGAAAAAAAAATGTATTTTAATTACTTCAATCATGTCCATCTAGTCTTAGTAGATAGGTCTAGAAAAAGTAACAGCCTACACACAACATACAAAGCTACTGATCATATTCTACTTTGAATCTGGATACCCAAAAAGAGGTTAAGAATGAAGGTTTTGAAAGGATTATACAGGACAACCTGCAATAAACAAGCCTTTAAATTTCTGCAGTGTGGAAGTACCATAAAAATAGCTATATTGTGTTATAGYGTACAAGAACACCAATGTTCAACATTTTATTTTTCATGTGGAAAATTCTGTGGCAGTTGAAAAATACAAATAATCCCTGCTGGAGCTATTTATATTGTGCAAAACAGATTAATGTTAATTAAATTACTGTTTCTATAAACAACATATGCTAGCAATACCAAAAAAGCAGGAGTCCTGCCTTCGCCCCAAGCCACTGTGTCTTGCTCCTTGTCTTTGTCTGTGTGGGAACACAGCTGTTTAAGCAGTGGTGAATTGGCCTGGTTRAAAAATAGCTTATTATTGTCTCTCATCACACAATTACATCAATATTTGCTTCTAAAGCATGTTATGGCTGGGAATGAGAGGCCACAGAAGGGCTACAGCATTTTCTTTAGGTGGCATTACTGATTCATGCTAGCTTAATGCTTAAAATGCACTGCAATGCAATGTAGAGGMAAAAAATTAACACGGTGTAGGCAAATAAAAGATGGTAACTACTACTTAAATTCCCAGCCTTAAGACTACACCAGTAGCACCTATGATGAGAAGCAAAAGTATTAACTAGTACACTAAATAGTTCCTCTGACAATTTTACTGTAAGCTATGGAAAGTCATATTTTAGGTTGCAAACATTTTGCCAGAGTTCACTTGCTTCTGATGCTCAAATTAGTTTGTGGCACAGCWCAAATAATTAGAAATATAAAAGTGGAAATTAACTAAAATTAACATAAATCAAAACCTAGCACACATAAGTCCATACTGCAAACCACTGTGCCATGGAAACATTAATAATACTGTGACCAAAACTTTTTTCTGGGTACGAGCCATTATGGCAACATTCCAAAGCTATAAACACATCACTGTTCAGATGATARTTGCATCCACTACCTGACCAATGCTCCCCTTCACGGAGTGGCTGTGTAAGCAGCTTTGTGATGGAACACGCAGCACTGTCCCCGTGCATGGCCTTTCACCACAGGGTCCACCCTGCTGTGTCTCACCAGCCTCCTGATCCTGGGACACRCAGGACACACAGGGTGCCAGGCGTGCGCCTGTAGAGGAGGCTGGAGGAGAGAACACTACATGACCTAGCAAAAACAGAGTTTTCCTCAATCTATTCCTTCCACACAAAACATTATATAAAATGTATAGAGCTTCTATGAAACCCATTTCAAAGGCTCCACAAAGAAATGCTCTCTTTTTCAGTGAAGCATCTAATGAGAAGCATTGTTTTAACCCTACATAAATCTGTGTTGTTTTCAAAATATTACCTGAAACGTATTCTGGAAATTTTTTGCATCCCCAGATCTACACTTCTAAAATTCCATCTTTTTAGTAAGGTTTTTAGTATTCAAAGCACGACAGCAGTATATAGAATACAATTTTTTTGACAGTTGCAATGTTAATAATTAATACTTTGGGATTCCATGTAATTGCTCCAAACCTATGATGTTAAAAATTAATGGTTCATAAACCTTCCTTTTGCTTCAAAGCCAGAACTAAATGAAGAAAAAAACAACTATGGAACAGGAGTACTGCATTTTCGTCAATGCAGACAAATTCATCCACCATGGGAGGAAATAAGTGTCAACAGTGGAACACTGGTGAAAACAAATTCTTCTCCTTTGTGTATTTAAAAAAACAAAGGAACTGAGCAAGATCTAACTTGAAAAAAGAGGCATCAGTACTTTTTACTTTACGTAATACTGTAATGAAAAAGATACCTTTGCTATGTTCAGTAATGAATCAGATGTGTTCAAGTTCTCAAATGAAAAAATAAAAATCTTCAAACTACTTACACCAGACAAGGCAAGCAACTACAGAAAATGGTAATTATCGAACACAGGCTTTTTTCCCCTCTACACTAAGACTTAATATATTAAGTTTCAGAATGCAAAAAACAAAGAAAAGTAGAGAACATAGACCAAAATATTTCTGGTTTAAAATAGACTTGTATTTTATCACCTTCACAAATGCATGTCTTTTTCTTGTGTCGCAAGAAGGCATGTTACATCTGACAGAAAACCCTGAAGAAATAAAGAAAAACAAAACAAAACAAACAAAAAAACCCAAACCAAACAAAAATAAAAACAACAACAAAAAAACAAACAAACAAAAAAAAACCAACAAAAAACCAGTGCAACTTGACCTAGCCGGTGCTTCCTGCCACACACAGTGTCACTTGTCCTGTGTTTCCCCTGTATATGAAGAGCAAGTACTACTGAGAACATCCAGTGTTCTARTATGTGGCTACCTCACTTTTCTGGTTGCTTTTTTTCATATTAGCACACTATTCCTGAGTAACACAGAAAAGGTAAAATTATTCTTCTGTCACTCAGACAACAGTTCTTTCAGAGCTTTTTCCGAACTTCACGAGTTCATTCTCCTAAATTAAAATCATCTTATAAACAAAAAGTAACAGCTCTACATTTTTATTTCATTCTTCTTGRAGACAAGCCAAGCAAACCCCTCAAATGACCTCACATGTCAAAAATACCAACACTGTGATGACCCACCTTCCTCCTCTTTAAGGATGGGTTGTCAACAATATAAACATACATTTCTGGTGGTCTGCTAGTCTTAGGCACTTTCTGAGTGTTGCTAAACTGTAACAGGAATTTAAGACTAACAGCAAACTTGCATTTCTTAAACCACTAGGCAAAGTTTTAGAAATGCTCACAATCCATGCTGACAACCAGTAGCTTAGAAGCCACATCAGCTTGAAAAATCTACATCTTAATTTGCAAGATTTACAGTAAKGTTTTCCTGTGTCCATTTCAGTAAAAGATGCAGAAAAAGTGCAACCCCCTCACTCCCTTTGAGAACCTCGGCAAAGTGACAAAGCCTCAAAGAAAAGAAAGAGTATTATCAGAATTAAAGACTCTCAAACTCATAATACTTATTCAGGATGATACAGGGCAGAAAGGAGGTCTTTTCAGGAAGACGAAAACTCTGAACAGTCCTTGAATATTATTTTTTTGCCATACTTATTAGGACTATCCTATCAGGACCACTCTACTCGGTCGCGTACAAGCACGCAGCCGGGCTGCCGGAATATCCACTACGATTGCCAACAGGTTTCCCCTGCGCAAAGCCAGAGCACAGGAGAGGCGGGTGGGGCTGCAGCCGAGGCACAGCGCGACCACCCCGCACCGCCCAGAGGTGGGGCTTCCCCCCGCCCCGGCTCCGCACATCCCACAGCAGCCCGGGCGGCAGGGGCGGAGCGCTCGGCCCGGCCCGTGCGCGGGGCCCGGCGGGGCGGCGCTGCGGCCTCCTCCTCACTCACAGTAGTACGCCACCACGGGCTCTCGCTTGTCCAGCTCCTGCGCGGTCCGCAGATGGTGCTGGATGCTCTTGAGCTGCGGCGGCAGCGGGGGCAGTGCCGGGGCCGCCATGGCGCGGGCGGCGGCGCGCGGGTCTCGCTCCCGGGGCTGGCGCGCGCCGCTTCCGCTTCCGGCTCGCGCGCCGTGGGCGGGGCCGGGGGAGCGCCCCCTGCTGGCCGGGAGGCGGCGGGCGGGGTTGTGAGTCTGTCCTTCGTCCGTGGGGACCTGCGGCATCAAACGCCACCTGCGCGGCCCCTACTGCTCGAAACGCGTCCCTCAGCAGCCACGAGGAAAGGTTGGAGACCTTGGGGTGGCCSGGGCTTCCCCCTGGCCCAGCGGTGGAGCGGCGGCCTGGCCCYGGCTGCGCAGGGCTGAGCAGTGACGCCCTCCCGGCCCCTTCTGCCTCCCTTCCTCGGGCAGCTCAGCCCAAAGAGCTGTGCAGACCTGCCCTGTGGAGGTGCACCTGCGAGTGAAATCCCTCCTCAGACTGAAACGTCTTCTCCTTGGGCTGTGCCAAGCATTACAAGAGCCTGGGAGGCCCTCGGGGAGTGAACTGCACCTTTACTTCTGGACCTCTGTCCTTCATCGCCAAAAACTGTTGTCCGCAAAAATTGGTTAGTTACCTGATATGCAACAAACCAATAAATACACATTCGAGAGAGACACAGATTATTTCAGAGTTGTGCAAGCCTGGGTGTCTGATGTTCCATAAATCGAGCACCCCAACCATCAAAACGTTACTATTTATACATTTTTGCGAACAAAGGCTACAAGTTATATAGTTCTCATGTTAATTAGTATTCTGTCTTCTGTTAGTTAATGATTCTCTTGCTTCTTATGCTAATTATTGAGCACGCTTAGTCTTTCTCATTTGAGTCATTTGATTTCTTGGATCTGCGGTCAATGAATTGGTAGTCAGGATCTCCCCCTGCCAGAATTACATTTTATCCAGCTGGATCTGGTTGCAGCACAGTTGCTGAGTTGCCTTATTTGTTTCTTCCTTATTTTGTGAATTCTGCCAAATGACCCTGTGGCCTRTAAACTGTGTTCCTTGTGTCAACTATGAGTGAGCATCCTTCTCCCCAAGCTTTGTTAACCTTCTCCTGCATCTGAGATCAGTGAAGAATGACAAGTCCTAAACCTGGTAAACAAGGCAATTCTATCACCAAGCGATTTGTATTTCTAACACTTGGACCTCACGTAGAACGTGCTTCTTAGCTGCTATCTGTTTCATGGATTAAATCTCCCTTGTTGTTGATTAGGCTTGAAAGTATWCAAAAATTAAACAGCAAAGAAAATCCTTTCTTGAGGGAATTGCACATACAGTCCACATTTCTACCACATTTCCACAATACTACCATGGCCTGGCTAATAGGACTGGGTGGCTTCCTGGCAGCTGTCAGCAACTCTGTCAGCCCTGGAACCTGCATCYTATAGGAKCACYACTTCCCAGGCAACTCTTTCTYGGAGGAACTGSCAGGGATTTCTGGTTTTGCAGAGGRGGRATAAGAAGAGCAAAAGAAATRTGAACTAGTTGAAGCAAAACAATTTCAAATGGATCTCACAAGTTATTTCGACAGAAATTATTTTACTGTCTATCCTCTCATTCTCACAGCATAAACTGCGTTAAAATTTCTTTTAGAAAGCCCTTTTGCCAAACCTCTTCTTGATCTCAAAGTGGCTGTTTGCAAGGCAAGAGAATGCCAGTGCTCCAGGGCATAAAGAAAAATGCATGTTGGAGGGAGGCACAGGGCAGGAGAGGGGGCTGCATTGTCTCATTCCTGACATGGGAGAGTGCYGAAAACAGAACAGAAAGGAAATTATGTCTGAACAGAAGAAAGGAAGCCAAAAAAGGAACAGAACAAGAAGTAGTTACAGGACTGGGACTGTGGTGCTATATGCTGTGGTGCTATACTAGAAGCTGGCTGGCCCAGAGCAGCTATACCTTTGATGTAAATGCAATCATGTCACAATTACAGCTCTTTGTTAAGTGAGAGCTAAAATGGTCATGATGCCTGACTAGAGACAAAACTGACTGCAAACACATGAGCTGGGGATTKCTTTGAGTGCTGTCTGTGAAAATGAGGTGGCTAGAGTATGGTGGAAAACAATGAAAAAGTTGAAGAAGCACTTCAGTGTGAACCTGATGTAAGCAACAAAAATGCTTCCTCAGTGTTCTGGGTGACAGGACGTCATGTTYGCTGTGTAAAGAAATAGAATTGAAYCAAAGAATCACCAAGTGTATTTTATAATTCCTTTCTTAATGGCAAARAGGRAAAAAAAAAGCCTTCATGATTATCTCAAACACTTACTAAGCATTTGAGCAAAAATTAGCACAACGCTGAGAAGTGCATGGAGGCATATCAATCTCAAAGGCAGTAAGGGTGGAAGGAAGCTGGTGGAAAACAATGTAAATGAGGATGAAAGTGGTGGGAGTTTGGAAGACTAAGCAAAAGAAAAGTTTAGAGACACTTGAGAATGCAATGAGTGCCACAAAAACAAATGGCAAATACAGGAAAGAGAAGTGTTGACAACCACGGGGAAATAATTTCTTTACATAAACATAATATCTCCATCAACATGTTCCAGAAACTAATGGCAGAATCAGGCACAGGAAAACATTCACACTAAAAGGCAATAATGCA